GGAAATATTCTCACGGACGGTTCTGGTGCGCACCATGATGGTGTGTACAAGATACTCGAAAACAGATTCTCTCTCTCTCTCTCTCTCTCTCTCTATCTCTCTCTCTCTCTCTCTCTATCTCCTCTCTCTCTCCTCTTCTCTCTCTCTCTCTCTCTCTCTCTCTCTCTCTCTCTCTCTCTCTCTCTCTCTCTCTCTCTCTCTCTCTCTCTCTTCTCTCTCTCTCTCTCTCTCTCTCTCTCTTCTCTCTCTCTCTCTCTCTCTCTCTCTCCTCTCTCTCTCTCTCTCTCTCTCTCTCTCTCTCTCTCTCTCTTCTCTCTCTCTCTCTCTCTCTCTCTCTCTTCTCTCCTCTCTCTCTCTCTCTCTCGATCTCTCTCTCTCTCTCTCTCTCTCTCTCTCTCTCTCTCTCTCTCTCTCTCTCTCTCTCTCTCTCTCTCTCTCTCTCTCTCTCTCTCTCTCTCCTCTCTCTCTATCTCTCCTCTCTCTCTCTCTCTCTCTCTCTCTCTCTTCTCTCTCTCTCTCTCTCTCTCTCTCTCTCTCTCTCTCTTCTCTCTCTCTCTCTCTCTCTCTCTCTCTCTCTCTCTCTCTCTCTCTCTCTCTCTCTCTCTCTCTCTCTCTTTCCTTCCTCCCCATCGCCGGCTCACGAGCAAGCCTGTAGACTGCTGTCACTCCGCAGTATCCCAGCAGCTCCGGTACCCGAGCCAGGCAGCGTTTGTATTGATCCTCTTTGACACCGCCATCGACCTTACGATCAACCAAAGGATCGTCAAACCGCTGGTCCAAGGAGGGATCCAGAATTTCGGCCAGCTAGCGGCCCTCCGGAAATAATTATTTTAAGGCTATGACGATGGCGGAGAGCGAATTACTCACGAGGACCAGCAGTCGCCCTTCTTCAATGCTGGGCACGTCCCGCACCTCGCTTCAGAAAGACTCCGTGAGTGTGAAGTAGACGATAAATTCGGACTGGCTTCTCAGGGATTCATCAGATGCCAAGTCGTACGCAATACAGATAACTTCGCGCAGCGTGTAGCGGTCTGTTGTATCAGAAGTTTAACAGCCATCTGACCAGGGATCGGCATAAAGCCCCGACCTCTGACATGTGGTAAAGAAGCGCCCAGAGGCATTAACAGCTTGCCGAGAGGCCCGAAGTCGTTATATAAGATCTGAATGTCTGCAATACGTATCATTTCCTGGTGATCAGTGCTGTCCGATAATTCAGGTTCAAATTCAAATGCAATTCGTTAAGCATGTACAGCCATCCTGATTTTTCATCTCACACGTCAATAAAATAACACGTTGGTCAATGTAATCCACTAACCAACATGGTTGTAGGCTCAAGGCTTTTTCCTAACTCTGTGTGTCACATTTCACATTGAATGTGTTTTGATGCCGTCCTTTTCAAAATGGACACATCTTATGATACAACCACAAAGCTCAGGAAAAAGCAAAGTGTTCAGAAACCAACCACAGGCGGCTAACCATGCCGAATGAAAAAATGCCAGGCGTGCAAGGATAGGTATAATGCAGCGTGCTTTACAGATAAGCTGGGTATAATCAAGTGGAGTGCGTACACTACCGTGGCCAAATTACTGATACACTTATCGATAGTGTCTATCCTTTTCTGTCGATGTAGCGTCTACAAAAATACCAATAACCCACTTAGGAAACGAATGGAATTAATGGTACGGACGTCAGAAACGCGCTTTTCCCTTACCTGCTCATGCTATGTCTGGTCTAACTGTTTTGTGCTGGGTGTGGAAGAGTAGCGGTCATTTACCCGTAGCCACATAACGGAGTCATCTCCTCACGACCGATCGCTCTTGGGCTAGGAGGGACAGCACGGGCCGTTTTCTCCTTCCGGTTAATGTGAGGGCTCACACAACAGTGAGATCCCGGCGGCTGCGCCGTGGCGAAACGCCCTGTCCATCGGTCACCATTCGCAGCCTCCAGCGTCCACCAGTTGCTCAAAGTGGCAAGGATGATGGCGCCCATATACCGAATCGGCGCGGGTGTCACGTCACGTGTCCTGTCAGCCCCTGACGGAGGAGCCCATTATCCATTGGCTATCAGGGACGATTCGTTATCAGACCGTAGAGGCATTGATTGCTGAATCCCCTTACATTGACTGAAGCAGTGGGTAAAACTACAAAACTGGCGCGGATGCTATACCGAAAAGCTTCCTATGCATAGGCCCTGTATGTGTTCCACTTCCACACATGAGCACCATCCTTCCTTTTCCTGAGCTGCTCGTCGACTGAACTTGTAGCAAGGTGCTCTCGCTACGACACACCAAATGTCTACTAAATGCTCGGATCGCCTTTGTCCCAAGAAGCTGCGGCTAGGTCCTGCGACTAACGACGCATTGGCAGCATGATGTGCTTGTCTCGAGCGAGCCGAGTCGCTGTCCGATATATAGGCCACTGCCCCTATGGGAGCCGCGTCGCTGTCCGATATATATATATATATATATATATATATATATATATATAGGCATTGTGTCCATGCGAGGCGCGTCGCTGTCGATATGTAGGCTATTGTGTCCCATGCGAGGCGCGTCGCTGTCCGATATGTAGGCTATTGTGTCCCATGCGAGGCGCGTCGCTGTCCGATATGTAGGCTATTGTGTCCCACGCGAGGCGCGTCGCTGTCCGATATGTAGGCTATTGTGTCCCATGCGAGGCGCGTCGCTGTCCGATATGTAGGCTATTGTGTCCCATGCGAGGCGCGCCGCTGTCCGATATGTAGGCCACCGCTCTCCATGAATTTCCCGATCACTCTACCCAAACCGACTCCCATCGAAAGGCGGCCGATTATGGTCCGACGGGGCGTCGCTGATACATTTGATTCCCCCTTGCCGCATTAAATGCCGCAGTTAAAACACTTTTGCGATGGGGAGTGGGATTATGCTGGTGGCTTTGTGTAAGGCTAATATAAATTTCTATCCTTCCTATACCAAAGCCAACTGTAAACCCCTAAACGGCCCACGGCCAAATTGAACCAGCCGCTCGCTGCCGGGACGATACATTTTGACGCATCAATCAGCATCAACAATCGGCAAACATCAACATTCAGCTGAAAAGTCTGACTGTTTAATTCATACCCAATTTCCTGCAACGCAATCAATATATCATACACAAAGATGCGCTTCAGCCATATGAAAGCCGCATGTATCCTACACTCACCTTTGAAGGCTCGCATGGCAGCCGGCAGATACGGAGATTGATATGCTCACTCGCCTTTTAACCGCATACATTTAGGCAAATATTGTACAGATAAATTGAAAGTATATGTTTGGGCCGGCCTTGATTCACGTTCGATGGTAATGCCCGGTGAAAGCACTTGAAAGCACGCATGATAACCGGTAGGTACGCAGTATAATTGAAAGATGTGCAAAGGTATCAAATGCAATTATGTCTTTTGCAAAGTACAATACGGTAACATGCAAATATCTGAAAATATTTAAAATGCAAAAATAACTTTGGTCGCATAATTTGGGAAGAAATTGTGCAGATGAATTTGAGGCATACAGTTGCCCTCCAGATGCCAATCCATAACCCATTAGTATGTAGCGCACTCTGCAGTCGTAGGTCCAATGCACCTGAAGTCATAAGCTCTCATGTCCAGCGAGTGCCTAGTCTCTTATCTCTGATTGGCAGTTCACATGTATGCGCTGTGGCCGGTTTCAAAACATGAACCCCAAACACTAAAAAGGTTCTTGTACTATGGGTGAGCTAATTACATAATATTTGTTGCTCATATGAAATCCAGTGCACAGGCACTCAGAGTGCGAAGTCGCAGGCGCTCCACAAATGGCAGCGTGACTGCGAGTGCCATGGACTGACTTTTATTCAAAACATCCCGTCAACAAAAGTACCACCAGAGAGCTGGATCTTCCTCGTAGTCAGTTCATGGAACGAAAACTGGAAACAGTTTCCCGAGATCAGCACATCATTAATCTTTGCTTGTCATGTTTGCTGCTGTGCTGTAAAAGGGTCAACCAAAGTGCCAAACATGATTATCACTGCTAGTGTCAGTGGTGCTGCTCGCTCAACAATTTGCCAGTTCGCAGCACTGACATCACACGACGATGTCAATACTGGCGCTAATGGTGTCTCGCCGCTAATGATGTCGTACCAGTCTCCGCACCAAAACACGGACAGTCTTTCCTTAGGCTGCTGTTATGGACAAACGTAATACTTGGTTTATATGTCACCCACAGGTGTCAGTTAACCTTATGGTTCAAATATGCTTGCCACCTGAGCATATTGTTTCGTGTTAGGCACGATTATGGAAACTACGCGTTAAAGAAAACGTCTTTCGTAAGCATCCTCGTAGCTCAATCGGTTAGAGCGAAAGTCTCCGGGGACTCCCATCCCACCCATCCATGGCAGCGGCCGCTCTAGATCATAGGTCAGAGGGCGGGGCGGACTGTGCCGAGCATTGTGGTACATTAAGCTTTCGCCACCCAATGCTGGTGCTGACACGGAGTTGCACGATCGGATGATGTCAGAGTTCAGACAACAAACACTGCTCAGCATAAGTCCTCATTCCCAGAAATTTATCTAATCGGAACGTTTTGGGCCAGACTTTCCTAAAAAGGCTTGGATTAAAAAAAGAAAATAATATACAGGAAAATAGCAATGTATATTCCTATAGTCTGAAGCTCTTACTTAATGAATCCGAAGCGACTTAACATTCCTCTCAAGGCAAGGCAAGTGCAACAAATCTACTGCTTATAAAGGCGTCTTACGGTATTAATGATCGATGGGGAACATTAAGCCCCATGTTACGGTTTGCCTAAATGCCACCTTGGTGCGTCGACTACAATGGAGATTTACGAGAGTAAATGACTTATGCTCGGGGTATTGCGTCGCTTGCATGGTTTTAAGCTTTCATTCGTTAACAACACTTTTGATGGCGTGACACCCGACTCTTATTCAGCTAGGGCTCACACACAGACTCACACCCTCTCCCACAATAAATAGCTGGTCTCCTTGTTTCAGAAATGGCAAGACTATCAGCTGATGTGGGATGAGTCGGACTACAGAGGAATCCACGTCCTTCGGCTGCCACCGGACAAGGTCTGGAAGCCCGACATCGTGTTATTCAACAAGTGAGTGCAACTAGCAACCAGGATGTCTCAGCAGTAAGAGCTAGTAAGATGCCTTTGCGGAATGGGACGGGCCAGGTGACAACAGTCATGATCTCACTGTCCAGATGATGCTTAATGTAAGCGAATGGACTTGATCGCCTTTGGAGGCCATGCTTAGGTGATATCAATGCACTGAAATATCCTACTTCCATGAGTTTGACTCGTGATGTTGCACTTATGCATATCGACCGATCGGAATATTGTCTGGTTTTGCGCCTGCCAAAAGCATCTCTGATTTTGTAGAAGGGCATCGGTAACAATAAACTGGGCTACGTTCCTGATAATTTTTCATTTCGTCTCGGTTTTCTATCATATCTATTTTCATACCTAGTATTTAGTTTTCATGTATAGTTTTCTGCCGTCTACCCGATCGCCTCGGCTTAGGCCACAACGTGTTGCATTTGAGTCCGGTTTCGGGAAACGATTGTCCTGTCTTGTCTTGTCTTGTTGTCTTGTCGGTATCTTGCCTTACTGGCGCGTCTGTGCTGAGTGGGTGGGACAGAACTGAGATCGTTTAATGAACTTTAGATGGTGAGCTTGCCTTCGAAGTACAGTTAATTTCCAGTTTCTGTGCTCTGGCTGCCAAAGTCCGACATAAGCGTTCAAAAACGCCCAAAAGCGTGCATACCCATTGGCTTCGTTTGATGGTGCATGCGAGACTGCGGCACTTAGGTCCAGGTTTTTCACCACACGATGGTCCGTTTCCCGCTCCGTCAGTATTGGTTAGTTGCATGTCGTTGCTATGTTTGGAAACTGAGATCGAGACCTGTTTCCGGTCCACGGTCTTCAGCTTTTCCGACATTTGGAAGTGATGCGTTTACCATGATAATTGAAGGGGAGGTATGTTGGGGACATTGCAACGTTGCGGTAATATGCCCCCGAAAAGTCTGCATTTTAGTGCTTTGAGAATATTCCGGCACAACTGCAAAATATTCGTACTATTTGTTGCTGGAAATGTCTCGGCGATGTGATTGGTGATAACTTAAATAAACTCCCGTTAAAGGCGTTTTTTGACTGTGCTGGTGGAGCCTTAATCCACCAAATTTCCGCCTTGTCGACGTCCAGATTCGCTCGGCCCAAGGCCTTGTCCATTGCCAGATCTTATTAAAACGTTGCATCTTCCATCTATTTTAAGCTTTATAGGTAATACTAAGCATAATCTGATAACCATTTTGTCAAAAAGTTAATTGATATCTGTCAAGGTACAAGGATTCGACTATGCGTAGCTTGACATTATGATTACCCGAAACATATTAAGTTTAAGAATGGTGTATATGCTTCCACTCACATCATGGGCAGCGGAGTCGCGGCCTTACGGCGGCCTGTCCGTGTGTCTCCAGCGCTGACGGCAACTACGAGGTGCGCTACAAGTGTAACGTGCTCGTCCACTCGAACGGCGACGTCCTGTGGATCCCTCCGGCCATATACCAGGTGAGCGGCGGTCTCTTCCGCGCCAGACCGCCTCTGAGCGCGCGCCACACGCCAGGCCCGGCGTCTGCTCGCCCCGCCACAGGCATCCGGCACCGAGCAGCGAGGACTCATACCGAGGAACGTCGGGCTAGGAACGGCGCGTGAGATCGGTGGGTTGTCTGCGGTTTGCGCGGTTCATGTGGGTTCCGTACCTCAGAAGCAGACCATCTTGTGACGGAAGTGACATGGGTTCGAGGCATGCCAGCGGTTGTGCCTTGCGCATGGGAATGTGCGATCAGTGACTATACAATCCCAATAGCTTTGAGAATCGTCTTAGAATAAATGCGTAAACCCACTGTATCTGTAACCGCATCCATTTAACGCTCGATCTGCCCAATGACACGTATTTCACGCTTTATCTCCCCGCTCCTCTGTTGCCCACCCGCCATCGTGAACCCCCACTCCTCTCCTCCCCCGATCTCGACGCCAGGGCCGGATCATCAGCACCCCACCGGCGAGAGGTGACAACACCCTTTACCGCGGCCGGCGGCGGCCACGCGCGGCCGCTGCCGCTGCCGCTCGGAGGCTGGCTCGCCGTTGTCATGGCTACGGCCGGAGCCGGCCGACTCGAGCCGCGGAGGAGTTATTGATCGGGCCGGCCGTGTACGGTACCGAGACGAGGCGGAGTGCGGCGACGCCGCGGACGGAGCGCGCCCGCCCGCACCGTGTCCGCCCGATGGTCCGTGTCGGCCTGTCGTCTGCTGTCCGGCCGCGCGCTGGCCAGATTGACCGGTCCGCCCGAGCCGGTCCCGCCCGGTGGCACGCCGGCTGGCGGCCGCCCACGCCGCCGCCACCCCCACCCGCCCGCCATTTAGCCGGCAGGCGGCATGACGGATCAACTTCTGGTCTGCTGATCGCATGTTTGCCTGGTTGCGTGTCTTTGGCCAGTGCCCGGCCGCGTGTAGGCTGTCTGGCCACTTGCCGCCCCAATAGCTGGCGGCGCGATTGCCTGCCGGCCGCATATCTGGCCGCCGAACGGCAGCCGGCTCAATCAGTAATCCTCCGACTACATGTCGGCTCAATAGCCGGCGGCGTGTCGGCCCGTCAGCACGCTGGCTGCCTCCGTAGCGTCGCTGCGGCCGCCGGCGGTGTGCAGCCGGCTGGCTGCCACTGTAGCGTCGCTGCGGCTGCCGGTGGTCGCACATCGTGGCAATTACCGGTCCGGCGCCCCCCCCCCCCCTCCCCTCCCCTGAGACGCCGGGCGACGGTGGCGGCCGCTGTGTACACACTGGTCGACCGCAGACTGATCACAGTGTGTTACGCGGTGTCCGTGATGGCTCTGGAGACGCCCGCTAAAATGTTTGAGTGGTGCGACAAAGGCTGTAAATGCGTGGTAGTGTGAAACGTTTGCACTATGGTATGATGTATGCTGTCTCGTTATTTGTGCCATATGATGGTTTCGGTCACGTTATTTGTACCATGATTTGATGGGTGTTGTGACGTTATTTTCACCATGATTTGATGGGCGTTGTGACGTCATTTTCACCATGATTTGATGGGCACTGTCAGGTCCAAGCGCTCCTTTGCCAGCAATTGCTCTTTCCACTCTGTCAACAGGAACCTGATTTGACTCCTTATCTGAACTGCGCAAAAATTATGATAAAGAGAAACAAGTGTAGTGACATGTTGTAGAGGTTTACATCCGTAGTAGGTTTACATCCGTTTACATACACCTATCACTTGTATTATTTTCTCATACGCTTTGTCATCCATTACCTATACTTGTGTCTGTTACTTAAGTAATATTGCTGCGTATGAAATATGCTGTAGTGTACTATGGATTATACTTAATCATTTATTTCAAGGCATTATCCACATCACATTTACTTCGCCATCACACACCTATTCATCCTTTTAGTTTGCTGTACCTTATGATTTGTTTCCATCGGACCAGATGGGCAAAGATAAAATGGCAAATAGTTTCTTGACGATGAAACATAAGGCTTGCCGGGGTTTTGACAGATCACCCTTCTTACCAGGCCCTTCCCGTCAACCTTGAATATATGATAAAGGGATGTGAAACTCTTCAAGTGTTTTGAAGACTCAAAATATATCAAAATGGCCGGTAAATGTTGCATTAGAGGTGTTCATACTGTCATCAAATACTTGTTCATTTCAGGTTTGCTGTAACTTATGAGTTATTTACATTGGACCCCATTTGCAAACGTAAAATGAGTAAGTACTACATGATGGCAAAATATAAACGCGCTTCGAGCAAAAGCAAAATCCAGGCTTTCTTGAGACCTGACGGTAAACCAATAGGCTTTGATCAAGCACTGGTGAGAAACATTTTCCTCATGGGCAATGCAAATTTGTTCAAACTCCTGCGACTTTTGGATGCAGTTCCTAAGAAATTGCCAATATATAGCGAACATTTCCGTGCTCAGGGAGAACTGCATAACCTTTATGGCCTCTTCTTTCTGGGCTTTCACTCCTGTTGAATCCTGGTTTCTAACATTTTAGGACTCCACCCTTCCTGTCAGGGGGAGAGGCGGTGGAGCTATATAGTCCCATTAAGCTGAGTGCGTCGTAAAAGGCCCCAATGGCCGACGGAACATTTTAGATGACCACCGAACTGGTGGTCATACCAACTGCGGATTTGGTTACACCGTCTCATGCGTTCTGAAAGCATTCTTTTACTGGGCTTTGAGGCGTAGCCAGGCTTATGTGCTGCCCGGGAGTCCGCGTCGGATAACTAACTTTTTTTACGAGTCCCACATCCCGTCCGGACTGAGATCAACGTAGCGATAATAAATATCGATGACATTGCGGAACTAACCTTGCATTTTTTTTGACAGGGCAAGGACTGTCGTGTTAAATACTCTTGTACTCGGACTGGCGATCGTGGAATACGAGACGGCATCGGCAGCTGAGCGAGATGCTGTGAATCTGGTGTGAATGCTGATCTGGGGACGTGGAAATCGCGGTGGAGACTGACGGTCCACGGCCATGTGGCAACGCTCGTGATGCGGGCCACGAACCCCAAACTAAACATTTGACAGAAACAGGCTACCCTCACTTGTCTCGTTTGAAGCGGGTTTTATCATTCCCCGGTTATATATCACCAACGCAAGAACCAATGCGCTGAGCCGAGTATGGGCACTGGGCCTGCGGAATGCGCGGTCGTGAAGACCCTGGAAGATCAGTCAGCGTGGTGCACCCCGGCAGCGCCAGCTTGGGTCCGATGTGCTGTACTGTGACGGGGTAGAGGAGCACATCATACCCAGCTACATTACGGCGCCGTGTCCCACTTATCGTCTGGTCAGACGAACCAGACAGAGAATTATCTCAGGTCCGGGCCAAGGCTGCTCCAGCGAGGCCTGCGCTGCCCCCACCCAGTAGCCTGGAGAACTTTCGAGCAACATGACATGGAGAGGGATGAGATGAAAATGAGATGTACATTTACTGCATCCACAATTGGTGCGCTGCGTCACAGTTTGCACGAATATGTTGACAGTGTCTGCCATCTCCCTATACCATTTAAATCTCCTCCAGTTTTCTCTAATGTCCAGAAAATGTCCCAGTCCAGTGCTCATAATACTAGCTCTGCATGAATTCCATCCAATCAAGTTTAGACATCCGATCTCCGCCCTATCGATTCTTCTCCATCCGGTCTCCATCCCCAACAAAACCTCTATCCCCATCTTCATCTGAGGAGCCCTCTGTCTGATCGTCATCTCTCAAGCTCTCTATATCACCTTCATCTCATCAGCTTTCCATCTGATCATCACCCAACCGGCTCTCTGCGCGGCCTTCATCCCACCACCTTTATGTGTTTTCTGGACTCCACCCTTCATATTTCCACCCGATCCTTATCCCATTAGCTCGTTATCTGGTTTTCACCATGGGACGGTTCCCTCTCACCTCTGACATATTATGTAACCACGATATTCTAATCCAAGCGGCGCTTTGTCTATCTCTCTACTCACATCTCTGGTACTTATGATACATGTCCCCATCCTTGCATCTATCGCCGTTTCCTATCACTTCCGAGCCCATTTTCTACCGTGCATCAAATTTAACCCTCACATGTCCCTGTAGTTAATTGTCACCTCGCAGTCAGCAACCACCGTTTAATCCAACTTTATTAGACGAATCAGATATTTCTCCTCGCACAAATGCCGATTCTCTGTGATGGCTGGGCGGATGTGGCCTCCATCACCGCGCATGCAAATCCGACTACTCATACCATACAACATATCCAAATGGTCTTTCGGTGCTTTAAGAAACTTAGATCCTAGTGTAAGTTTGTAAGTTTGAAGTTCGGACGAACTTTGCATGAACCAATTTTCTTGTTTGGGGTCTGTGTTGTCCCCATTATTACGAAAAAATCGTCCCGAACAATCTCCTTCTAAGAAAATTATAAGACGATCATTGCGATAATGTCTTAGTGCACATCAGCGACGATATGTTGCGTTCGACGTTGGATGCCCCCTCGCTGTAGCCGCCGCAGTGAAGGGAGGCGAAATCCCCCCTCCCGTTTTCGTAAATTTCTCAGGAGTGAGTGAGCATACTGCGTGTGTTTGTCTCGCAAATAAAGCGATAGCGCATGGTTTCAAGAAATGAAAAAAGAAAATTGGCATAGTGTTTTTAAAAACTGCATGCCGGCAAAAGTCAGCATGCAATTTGCAACCAGGGCGTCAAAATTGGCACAAATGCGTTTTTGGTAGATCCACAGCAGGGGACGTTGCAACGACACGGTGACTTTCTGCTGTATAGTTGCGTGCATCATTATGCCGAGATCACCGAAGTCACCTCGAAGTCGATTTCAGAATAGGCTCAAAATGTTCAGCATATGTTCGCAACATTTGTGAATTGCAGTTCTAACCCTCTGAAAAACACTTTGCATGGCATACGTCTTTGTTTATTTATAAGTGACCGATTTCTGTATTATAACATCGTTGCATAGATCGATTTCGGTGATATAACCAGTGGAAACCTTCAGCACCAATTAACCTCAG